TTGTCCTCTAGTCAACCTTATTGTGACCACGGCAATCTGTTTGCCCCTTGACTTGTAATTACCAGAAACATACAGAATATCCTTGAGGAATTTCTAGAGGAGAAAGAATAAATTTAAGAGGCTGAACACCTGAAAAGCAAAGTGTTACAGAAGCTATAATAATTTATAATCTTAGTGGTTTTATCTAAGTTGCAAAACTGGCATCGTGTGGTATAAAAGTATCATGCTTAGTTACCTTCCTTCTTTTCCTAAGACATCTTTCCATCTGTGGGTTTGAGAGCAGCTAGGAAATGAAACTTTTGGGTAAATACCCTCTGGGTAGGTATTTTATACCTTCTTACTAGCCCAATGCCCAATAACTGTGTTCCACAGAGCTGAATGTGTGTGGAAGTGTGTTGAGACAGAAGCTAAGTTCTCAGCTTAGAAATCATCTGTTCAAGGTGGTTAAGACTTGGTTAGAGACAGAAGTGTTTGGGCTCAACTTTGGGATGAAGTAGGTGATACTGAAATTACTTTGGAGGGCCACCTCCTAAGGGATTAGTATTGCTTGAGACTGATCAAATTTAAATTGTAAAATTTTGGATCATGTTCACAAGACAAGCACCCCAGTTGGTTTTCTGTAAGCCCAGTTAGATGGGGATTACTTATAAAACTCTATTATTATTTTGTCATCTAGGTGTGAGAATTGGCTTTAAGTTTCAACTCATTGGAAACCTCCCTCTGAGCAGAACTGAAGGTTTGTGGCAGGCATTTCCATCAGAGTCTCTTAGTCACAGAGCTGTTGCCAGAATGCTCACAATGGAGAACAGCAGAGCTGAAGGGTGCACTTCTACTTTTTATCATTTCATATAAATCTTGCTGCTGAAAGAAAAAAGGCACCTGTCCTTGTCTCTAGCCTTGTTCTTTTTATTCTGTGATAACTTTCAGTTTGTCCAACTTGAAAGTCAACACCGGCCCAAAGTGAGAGAACAGCAGGAGGGTAAGGGTAAAAGTCACTTTCATGAAAGTTATTGGGAGGTGCAGGAGGAAAATCTTCACTGCAACACAAGGAGAGACACGAAACAAGCTCTGTGCTCTGAAACATTGCATTAACAGTACAAATTAAGAAAAGGGGGAAAGTGTGAGAGACCAGATGGAAGAGAACAGAGTCGGCTAAGTGCACACTGAACAAATTCATCTGCTCACATCATCTCATGCATTCGCTGCCCCCAAATGTGGAAAATGCTGCAAAGATCTATTTCCTAGGCTGCTTTCTGTCCTTGTCCCTCTGTCCCTAGTGCTGCACTGGCTGTTCACACTCAAGGGTGATGCAGTGTAATGGTCAGCGCTGTCACTGTCCTGTGGGTGCTTAGCCACCACCAGCAATGCCACCACTCTGCCTGTTGTGGTTCTTGTCTGAAACCTTTGGGGCCCATATTTGTCCATTCCAGCTTGGGAAGAGCTTTCAGTGAGGATCTGCAGAGCCACTTCACTGTCTTCCTTTACATTGCCTTTCGAATTCCCCTTGTGCTGTCAACACAGGGATTAAGTTCCTAGTATGAGGAGCCACACACCCATCAGTTTGCTGAGTGCTGTCCTATGCTCCCTTGTGACCTTCACCCAGCTGAATACTACATCTCTTCTGAATAAAAAGTACCCCTTACAGCGTAACTGACTGATTTACAGGCTGGAACTTGCACCTTTAGGCAAACGTTTTCATGTTGCTTAAGTAGAAGTTAAAGGCTCTTAGTTTGATTTGTATTCTCCCCTTTGATTTGTATTCTCCTCCTGAGAATCTTGGCCCTGATCACAAATCATGGTGAGTGCCAGAGCGTTCTTGATTGAGAGGATGTAAAGAAAAAGGACCTATTTTTACAAAGGAATGAGATTTAGTTTGGTTTTTTTTAACTGTCTGCCACCTCTCAGCCAAAGCTCAAACCATCCCTGGCCTTTGAGCTCTGTGTGCTGACTGGAAAAGGTGAGTCAGCAGCTCAGGACTCAGAAACCACTTCAGCCTCTCAGCTGGTTCACAGCACTGTCACAATCTGCTTGTAGGGCTCCTGAGACAGAGGAGACACAGCAGGGGCTGCTTCAGCTGCTGCTTCAGCTGCTGTGGTTTCTAACGTTCACCAGAAGTTCTGCTGCAGCTGGGTCAGGGGAGGCAGCAGCATCTCCACCTTCCTCCCTGGGCTTAGCAAGAAGGCATAGACTCCTCCAAAAGCGAGGGATGGAGGGAATTTGGAGTCCCTTCAGTACAGCTGATGGATGGAAACATCCAGAGTGCATGGCAGAGCCCAGGGAGCTGGCATGCAGGGGGAGGAAAGGTGGAGCTGCTTTGTGGAGGGTGGGTTTGGTGGTGGGGACAGGTAATGGAATGGGATTTGTTCCTCTGCTGAGAACTGTCCCTCCCTGCTGTTTGCCAGAATGGGAGTGGGCAGCTCCTGCCAGGGAGAACATCTGCTCTTTGCCACAATCAGCCAGCCCCTAGCTGCTGGCTCCAGATTCTTTTGGGAAATGTACTGGAAATCTGCAATTTTGTCTTGAATTGAATGTGCCAAATAAGTTGATCTAAAGCTTCTATATATTTAGTCTCACTTCACTGAAATAATGTAGGAAGCTTACTGTTTGTCAGCTTTGTTTGAGACTGCAGTAAACATGAACACAGTGGAAGCCAAAAAGAACTTTATTCTGGTAAATCTAGTGGTCAGGCTGTTGTTTACAATACTTAGAAATACTGCTGTGACCAAAAGCATGAAAGCCATACAGAAAAGAAGAAAAGAATGCCCCAGCACTGTTCTTTAGAATTTATTCTGTCATTAGCTAAAGAGAATTAGGACTGTATTTGAAAGGTGGAACTATGGCATAAGACAGAGGTAGGATAGTCCCTTTTTGTGGCAGAGCAAACAGAGCAGTTAAGCAAACTGTGAAACTAAACCCCTGCACTTCATCTTAAAAATAGTGGTTTACAATAGAACCTGGCCCCATGCTATGCACTCCTTGTTAAAGACAGTAATTTCACTGTTGCTTTTTAGGTTACAAAGCGTGTCTCAGCTACAGAGACCAGTAATTTCTCTACCAATTTAAGAATCTTCAGTCCTGTGGCCACTTGGCACCTAAGAATGTTAACTGGATCCCATAGGCCTTGCTGGGAATAGATGTCCTTCTGTAAACAGGGATTTGGAGAACTTCTTTTGCCTCTCTGTTTCTCAGGAGATTGTAACAATAAATTTACACATCTCAGGAATTTTTGGTGTGCTGTAGCAGTTAGCCTTTAATTTATTGGCATCTTTATAATGTAGTAATTAATTCTTTTAACTGTGCTGGTTTCTCCTTCCTCCATCCCTGAAGTCTGCAGGAAGGAGGCACAGGGAATGCCTTCATTCCTCCATGGGACTCTGATGCCTTTGTTACCCTTTTCCAGCTTGTTTCTTCTAACCTAAATGACATTTTCAATTTCTATTCCCTGTTTTTAAAGTTGTAGCAGAACTGCAGAGAAATTGTAGCATGAGTCATGTGCGTACTTTACTGGACCATTAATCTCCAAATTGCTGTTAGTCTGGCAGAACATCAGAGAATATATCAAAATGATGGAAGATGAATTTAAGAGTAGCTGTAACCAAAGTGTGCTGCTCTTTCCCTGGACCTTGGGAATTCTGCCTCTTTGCAGGAGAGAGTGTGTTGCAAGCCCTGGTCCATGGCAGCTACCCAGACAAGTGGGTGAGGTGGTCCACAGGGCAGAGCACTGGGATGTCTGCTGCTCTCTTATGCTTTTTCAGCAACCAAGGGAATGAGGCTAATGGTGCTGACTTCTGTAAACTCCTTGGCAATGTATGAGTGAAAAGCACTGTGTCAAATTTAAGTGTTATGAGTTGTTATTAAGGAAAGGCTGGCAAAACTGTGATGGTGCCTCCAAAGTGATGGGGCCTCCAGCATTACCTGCTTTGCATTAGTTTCCTGTATGATGTGGGCAGACAGCACTGCTGAGAGCTGGAGTCAGCTGTGAAAGCCACAGAGCCAAGGGGAGCCTGGCAATATTGGGAAAGTAGTGAGAGAGTCCTGGCCTTGCTTGGTGTCTATGTGCTGGGAGAAGGCTGGACTCATAAGAATGTGACATGGGAAAATGTGAGTGCAAAAAACCTCCTTGTGGGTGCTGGGGTTCTGCTCTGGGATAATGCAGCTGTCCTGTCTCACAGGAGCTTTATGGGAGAAGCTGAGGTTAATGCCAGCCTTGCCCTGCAAGCCTGGGTGTAGGAACAGTACCAGGTCTTGGCTGCACTGGTGGCAATGGTCTCACCTGTACTGTCACAGGCAGCTGCTCAGCAGGTGACAGGCTGAAAAACAGCTCCAGCTCTAACATTGCTGGTGAGATCTTGGTTGAAAACAGTTTTAAATCCTCAGTGGTGAGCCTGGTAGTGACACTCAGGGACAGGCTTCAGTGTTGCTCTGCAGGATTTCAGCATCCTCTGACTTCCCAAAGACTGCCACTGCTGCTGTGCTCGTGGAAGCAGCACGAGCACAGCAGTGCCACAGAGCACACACTGTGCCACAAGCTCTGAGCAGGAGACCTGGCTGCATCTGAGCAGCAGAACTGCATGGTAACCACAGCAGCCCTAAAACCTACTTCCTTTGCTGCTGTCATAACCTAACCAAACCAAAGAGACCCTGTCCCAGCTGCAATGATGGCCTGTGAAAATACACTGTGCATAAGGTAGGCATGCAGCTGGAGGTGCAGGAATACTCCAGCTGGCCTGGAGGAAATGTGAATGGAATATGTGTGTGTGAGAGAGAAGAAGCAACAGATCAAGGAGTAACAGAATGGTCTGTATTGATAACCAAGGACGTAACTGACTGCACTAAAACTGGGTGAGTGCTGAAAAATGTCTTTGCAACAAGTCTGGCTGCCTGTGCCCTGATAAGCCTCACATGGATGGCGTGTCAGGAAAAGGCTTGGGCGCTGATAAAGTGCAGACTAGTCCTTGGGGAACAAAACTGCTCAAATAACAGAGGGATCACAGTAAACTCACAGCACAACCCCTCTGCAAGTTGTCCTCCTCTCAGGGCAAGCACATAGACAGTGGGAGCTAAGGTACCCAAAATGAGGGGGGAAAAAAGGCACTGAGCAGCCACCTGTTCTAGATAAAAGGGCTTTCCAGGAAAAAGGATCACCCTGTGGTAACCATTAACTCCTGAAGATGGCAAAAGACCTGCTCAAGAATTTGTAGCTTGTCACTGAAGAGGAACCCAAGAGGTGCAGTGAGGATTTGGCACTTGGCACACTGGGTCTCATCTCACAGAGGATCCCACTGGAGCACCTCAGCGAGCTTGGTGCCTGTGAGTACAGGGGGAGTGAGGAAGAGTGAGTGTGAAAATGGGACCAGAACAATTTTTCAAAACGAACATTGTCTTCCTGTTTTGTTAGGTCATGTGCTGTTGCTGCATTAATTTGCTGTATCATAGCTACATTAAAAACTTCTCCATTCTTAAACAAAGCTTTCACATCTTTTTTCATTTGTAACTGCTAAGACCATCAGAGTTTAAGCTTTTGTTTTGGTGTGATCAGTGTAGCAAAAATATAATCAGGCCTAAGTTGAGCTATAAGAGGCTCTAAGGGCTGAAAAATACTGGATAAAAATATCAGACAAAACAGGAGGGCAAGGAAAATTCTCAGATGCTTTAAGTGATAGCAAGTGCAAAACTGAAACTTCTCCCAAGCACTTTGACTTCACTGTTCCCACCCAAAGCAAGTTGACTTCCCACATGCCTGCGTAAAAGATAAGCAGGTCATGGCCCAGGAAGAGACCTACTGCTGAGAGTCCTCTGAATAAGACTGCTGTGGGAGCCCAGCCAGTTCATAAATGGATTTAAGGCTAGGGTTCCCACATTTTCTCTGAGGAGACAGCTCCAAAGAGCTACTGTACAGCTCCTCTTTCTCCTTCAGCTGCTAGCTTTCAATTCTATCCTTCACATCTCTTTGGGAGTGAGCCCCATCTCTTTGGGATCAAATCCTGCTTTCAATTAGTGTTGTTTGCCTTATGAGCATCTGAAGTTTGAGTTATTTTTCTCTTGTTTGTCTTTTTCTGAGTTTAATTGTTTCCTGTATTAAGATGGTGGTTTCCATAGATACCTTGGACATCATTTATCACTCCTTCCTGGACATACAGTTCCTCCCAATGATTTACACAACAATTTGCCATATCTGCTTGAGACCTTGGTTTCTTCATCCATATCACTGCTATACTGAGCATTTTAACACGTTATCTTAATAGCATTTTAACATGTCATCTTAATAAGCTGCCTTGTTCTCTTCACACAACTTTCAATCCACATGATGGAACTCTTGTCCAGCCAGTTTTAAATTCAAACATGGTACATTGCATGTCTGGTTTAGGATTTCGTACTGATGATTGCTGGAAACTTTAGTTCAGCTTTTCTCTGCTATGGGTAACTGTTAAACAGAACAGTGTTTTGTTATTTTTGTTCCCCTCCCCCCCGCCCCCTTGAGAAATGTTATCAAAGAACAAAGTCTGGCAAAGTATTCAGGGTTGGTATGCTCCTAAATGAGAGCTGAGATAGCAATGATGTTGTTCTTTCAGACAGCTCTAGCGTGAGTTTTTTCCCCTTATCCCGTCTCTACCTTGTCCTGGAGGAAAGCATTTGTCCTGGATTGCAGAGGTAGATGCTAACGTGAGTCTAACTGCTTGGTATTTAGTGGTGAGAAATTAGAGCGCTATCAGCCTCCCCAAATCCTAACAGAAACAAAGAAAAATCTGGGCATGGTGTAAGTCAGTGCTCTCTTGGGTGTATTTTGCTCTTATCAGGCTATTCAATGCACAAGTGGGGCTGTTCTGCTGATTCAGCATCAAGAAATGATGCCAGGGCAACTCCAGGCCACACTTAAGGAATTACAAAGGAGACCATTAGAGTCACAAGTTTTCTCTTTAGCTGATTTATAAATGGATTTGTTTTCTTTCTTGCTCATTTGTCCTAGTCCTGTTAATAAATAACCTTTTCAATGTCCCTGCTCCTGCAGGAGATGTGAGAAAAATGTGTGCTCATGTGAACTTGCTGCAAGCTCTGCAGCTGGGCTGGAGATCCTGTGGCTGGAAGGTTGGCTCTGGCTTGAGCTTGGTACCTCCCATCCCAAGCCAGAGAGAGAATGGTGCTGAAAGAGGCTGGGAAGCACAGTGGGTCCAGGGAAGCAGCAGACCTGTAGCTCCTTTTTGCATGGGCCAGGGTTTCTGGGCTGCTGTGACTGTCCCCTGTACCTGTGCTGTCTTATCCAGAATAGCTCATGTTTGTATTTTGAAATATTTGAGGCAAGAATAGTGGGGAGAAGGAAGATTAATGGAGATACACAAATTGAAGGCCAAATTATGGCTTGATTATAAATAGGTTTCTTTCCCTGAGCCTCATTCTTCTTTCAGGATTCACTGCACATCCCAGTAATAAGTAATCTGAACTTTAGAGATTCATAGCACCCTGTGCCAGCCCATTCATCCAGCAAAACTCCTTTGCTGTTTTGTTACATGTCAGCATGAGGCTCCAGCCTTTTCAAAGTGCTCCTCTGACCACAAAAATTTGGATTCATATTTACCTTATTACCTTTGTAGCTTCCAAGAAGTATTTCTTCTCTTACGCTCAGGAACTTTGTCAAGGTCTGTGCCCCGCAATAGCCTCTGATCCCATGTTCCTTACCATTGGTTGTCACTAAAAATACCACAGGGTAATTTGTTTCCTGCTATTTGAAATGGAAATTGTAGCAGCATGAGGAACAGAGAATTATATTCATGATATTCATGCCAAATATCATGAGCTGAATTCTCCTCATGGTTTGTGGGAATCCTAGTTATTAAAGCTGACCTCTGAGAAATCAGTATATTTTTCCACAAGGCCTAGACAGTGGATGTGCTCCTCAGCAAGAAAAAGAAACTGTTCCAGCTGTCTCTTGTCCTGTGCTCTGCAATGAGGAATGGAGAGTTCAGTGCTGACAGCTGAAGGTAAAGGGGTGAGTTGGGAAGTGTTTAAGCAGAGTGCTGTCTTTTTTTATGCATGCAGCCCTAACCCTGGCCTGCTGAAAGGAGGGAGCAGGGCTGCTGCCCTGCCTGAATAGCAAAGGGTCTTTGCTTCTTCTGCTGGGGGTTAGTTGCAAAGGGAAGGTGCCTACAGTGTTCTCTGCTACAAATGGATGCTATGCATGTTAAGGGAGGAAAAACTCACTGGATACCTTATAGGACTGAGAAATGCTCTTCTTAGACAGCAAACAGATGTGCTGAAAATCACAATACCAAGGGGTGGCACAACCTGGGTGTAGGCAAAATCCCAGGCACAGTTAGGCACTGCAGCATTTGGGACTGCTGTGGAATGGGCATCACCCCAGGGGCCTTGCCAGTGGCTCTGCTGATGCTGCACCAGCTTGGAATAGTGTTTGTGTGTCTGTGATCAGTCTCCAATGGTTTTGGTCCTGAGTGGGAAGTGAAAGTTCAGGAGAAATGCTGGTTGCTTTTGTGTGCAGAAATCGTCGGGCGGCACAGGCAGCAGCTCCGCTGGCTGACATGTGGCACTTTGGGCAGATGTGCTGCTTGTTTTGGAAAGCAGGGAAGTGAGCCCCTGAAGGCAGCAATGTTATTCAACACACAAGGTGATCCCAGGAGTCTACAGTTCAGAGAAAAACATCCTTGAGGTGTGGTGAGAGGCTTGGTGGCCTCAGCCCCTTCAGGGCAGGGCAGGCTGTCAGTGCAGAGGGCTCACAGGAAAAGTGGGGACTGCTGGGGTTGTGATTTGCCACCACTGGGAGTCCAAAGGTGCTGGGTGCAGGGCAAGCTGTGGGTGAAGGGGCGTTTGGATCTCTTTCCTCTGCGGTCATTCCCAATCAGAACCTCCTGTGGGGCGTTGCAGTGTTTACAAAGCTCAGGACTTTTTGTTCTCCAGGAAGTTTCTGAACTTGCTGGCCCAACGTGGGTGTTGAAGGGGGGAGTGGTTGCTCTGGAGGCTGTTTCCTCTCTTTTTTTCATAACAACTTGTACATCCCCCTCATGTGTGGGTGGTTGATGGCCCACAGGAAAGGGTGGGCCTTTGGTGATGTGACTCACACATCACCCATCTTCCAGTGTAAGCAGTGGTCCTGCTGTCTTCAGCAGCAACCATCATTAAATATTTGTACACAATAGCTGTCTGGGGCTGAACTGGGAGCAAGAGACCAAAGCAACTGAAGATCAGTGCCTGTCACCAGCCAGGATGCTGGGGACAGAGAGAGGCATGGTTTTCTATGTAGGGACAAGAAAAGCAGATATGATGGTGGATTTTAGTGAAAGACAAGGCAATTTCTCAGAACTAAGGGTGGCCATCTCACAATTTGCAATACATTACCTTCTAGCTCAAGAGAAATATGTGTTGACCCCAGTCACAAGAGAAAAAGAGGAATTTCTATGACAGTTTCAAATTATTATAAAAGTAATGCACACTTCTTCTGTGTCAATAATGTCTAGTAGCTCTTAAAAGAAGTAACATCACAAAATAAAAAATACTTGAGCTGAATCAACCTAGTATTTAAAATGTAGAATGCTAATAAGAAGCAGCCCATTCTCTTATTTTGTTCCACAAAAGCCATAATCCAACCACTGAAAGCTATGTTAATTTGAAAATAATGAAATCTATTAAAGATGCATATTCAGAGGCAAAAAAGGATTATTAAATTAGTGCAAATTTAAAGTTGGAAAGTGTAAAAGATGGTCACAAGAAGCATAAGGAAAAAATCATGGCCAGGGAGTTAAAAGAAAGAAGAATGTAAGATCTTGAGCCCAAGTGGAAGCCTGGCAGCACCATTGGCCACTGCAAGTCTGTGTATTCAAACTATCAACAATGACAAAGCTGAAAGGTGTCAGTGCTTGGTGCATCCTTTTTTTTTTCCCAAAAAGACAAACAAATGCCTTCACATCAAGTGACAGTCAAGCATATTCAAGCAATAATTTAGCTGGTAAGCCAGGGAGGAGGGGAAGCCCCCTTGAGCTCATTGGATATTTTCTGATGAAACTTCAAGCTTTGTGGATAATGGCAATAAATCTTCTCCAGTTAAAATATAGCTTTGATGGCTAGTAGGAAATTAATGCCAGAGGTTTCCTGACAGGAAACTGATGTAACTGATAACAGATTTCTCTTCTGATTTGAAAAACATCTTTGATGTGAGAATTGTAAAGAAATGAGTATGAGTACAAGTAGGATACAGGCTTAAAAGTCCAGTAACCATCATATAAATGTGAAAAAAAAACCTATCTAAAGGTATTGTGTCAGCAGCATCCTGACACTTGCTGGTTGTATTTACGGGTATTGAGTAT